CTCCCTCCCTCCCTCCCTCCCTCCTTCCCTCCCTCCTTCCCTCCCTTCTTTCTTTCTTTCCTGCCTTCCTGCCTTCTTTTACTTTTTTTAAACCATTACCATAAAAGATAAACCACTCTAAAAGTGTAAGAAATTTTTGTTACTGAAAATGTTAGCTACTTTCTCTTTAGTAAGAAAACCCTTGGAAGTTTTTGATTTTGTATATTTTTTCCGACATCATTTGGTATTTCTTACTCCTGGTCGAGGTATAGGCTTTTGTGGCTTTTTCGATCCTAATTTTTTCATTGCATTATAGTATTTCTTCTGTTCTTCTGTCATAAAGATGTCTTGACCTCCAAAGTATAGAAAAGAAAAATCAAACTGGTTAAAACTATGTCCCTTTGACACAATTTTTAAATGTTAACATAAAATAGAAAGGAAAATTCAACTAATTAGCATAATTGTGAGTACAATTAGTAAAATTCAACTCACTAGCATAATTGTATGTGAGTTTTTAAGTTTGAAAAATGTAAAGTACTCTTTAGGTACCATAATCTTATTTAACTCTTGCAATCATTCAAAATTGACATTATTATTGTTATCTTATAAAGAAAATTACCCAGAAACTCTGAGATGATATTTTAAACATAGCCTTATGCTTAATGAATGGTAAAATCTAGTTCTTTACTCTATATGTACTATCTTTCTGAAGCTAAAGGCAATGGTTTTCGTAAGTGTAGTAAAGACCTAAAATGTATCTTTGGATTTACTCATAAAAAGCCACTTTAACTCTGTCAAGAATTGGAGCAAGGAGGTAGGAAGAAAACTGGACTAGTTGGTAGGAGAGTAGGCTATATAAGAGCTAGTGACCCAGCAGGGGTGGGACAGGCCAGTATGGACAGAGGATTGGAATACAGGCAGTCGATGAAAGGAAGTAGCCTGATACTGGCTACAAAATACTACTAACAGAAAAGTGGGAGAGGTAAGGAAGTTACTATAGTGAAAGAACAGCTCATTATATATTACAATACGCAAACATACTGAGCACACAGAATCAAACAACAGTATATAAAGGAAGAGATACACATGGTGAAAAAGCACTTAACAAGACGTTTAAATCTATGAGTCATAAAAGTCAGAAGAATTAAAATCAAATACAGCTTTTATGTATCAAATAACAAGCATTAAAAGCAAGGAGAAGGTTTCATGCCAGTGAGGGAACAGGAGCATGGGTGTATTCATAGTTATTGGGAGTTGAAAGAGGTACATTACTTATAGAAGCAAAATAATTCACTATGGGATTATATTCTACTTATTAATTAAAGAATTTTTTTTGGCACAAAGACTTTTGACAAAGCACTATTTAAGCCAGGAAAGATTAGAAGCAATCTAAATTATCAATATATTAGGGAACAATTGAGTAAACTGTGACAATGTATACATGAAGATTTTTAGCAAAGTGAAAAAAAATGCTTATGTTAAGTCAATGTTAAGTCAAAATTAAATTTATAATTATGAATGAAAAATAATCTTATCTGTAAAAATATGTGTTGAAATAGTATGAACAGAAAAAAAGTGAAAAATGGTATTTGCCAAGAGATGTTTGTTTACTTTCCATACTTTTTTTTTTTTTTTTGAGGCATAGTCTCACTCTGTTGCCCTTGGTAGATTGCTATGATGTCATAGCTCACAGCAACCTCAAACTCTTGGACTTGAGCAATCGTCCTGCTTCAGCCTGCTGAGTAGCTGAGACCATAGGCCTACACCACTAGGCCTAGCTGGGTTTTTGTTTGTTTGTTTGTTTAATTTTTTTGGTAGAGCCAGGGTTTCACTCTTGCTCAGGCTGGTATCACATTCCTCAGCTCAAGCAATCAACCCACCTCAGTCTCCCAGAGTGCTAGGATTATAGGAGTGACCCACTGCACTGGGCTAGTTTCTATACTTTCTGTACATATGATTGAAACAATCAAATGAGCTTTATAAATAATAATAAGTGGAGAGTTATCCAACTCAAAACTGGAAGGGGTAACTTAAAATTAGATATCTGGGAATACATAAACAGAATCAATGAGAGGAAAACGTGTGCAAAGAAACAGTCGCTTACATCTAGTGCCTGCTTTCTTGCAAAGATTTCAGGAGGTTTAGCTGAAAATTTATTTTAGGGTATTGCGGGGAATTGTAGAGATAAAACATGTTAAGTTTGGGAAAGGGTATATCCTTGGATTGTTATCTAGTTCTTTTCTAATTATCCTCTTTTAAAAGACAGAAAGTGTGGCTCCTTCACAAAAAAAGAGAACAAAATGAGAGAAGTTTTATGAGCCTCTGCACGGGAGAGTGGAACAAAGTTATTCTTAGCTTTCTTCAGCCTGAAAGGGATGAGTAGTAGATGGTAGAGGGAGAAGGAGAAGTAGGTTTTGATCATATTTTTCTTTGGTTTTTGAATTCTAATACTCATTTGGTGGAGAAAACATTTTAAATGATAATTTTTCCATCTCAGAGGGAGAGAAACATTAGTAATACTTATCTTCTTTTTTTGCTGGTTGAAATTATCTATGATGACACCAATAAACAGATTCAAGGTGAAGAAGGACCCAAAGATGATGAAAATAACAAAATAAAGGTACATGTAGAGACTTTCCTCATACTTAGGCTGAAGTTCAACCTACAAAGGAGAATATTTTACAAAATATTATCATACATGTTAATGCTGGAATTTCATTGGTACTTTTTCATGAGAATAGTTTTTTCTCCATCTACCGCCTCTCAAATGTATCTGAAATCAAATTGTTTTTCATGGGAAAGATATGGTTATTATGACACACTAAAATATATTTTTTTGTAATGATAAGTACACTTACATTTTTCTATTTGGACTGAAGTATGCTAAGTTTAGCAGATTTTTCAAAGTACTGCATTTTAGTAATTTAAAAAATTATTAGTGAAAAAATCACTTTTGTAAACATACCCTGAACATGCTTAGAAATGATCATTTGAATATGCATGAATTAATGTAGCAAATAAGAATTGAGTTATTCATTTAGATGTTTGCACCACACTCTAATATTGCAACAGTCATGAAATTTTTCAGATTAGGTAGACAACAGCACGATCCATTGTATAAATACTTAATTTATAAAGTGGTAAAAGAGTCACTACAGATAGTTTCCTTACAGATTCAGGTCCTTCTTGAGACAACAAAGTTAAAAACCAGTCAAATATACAAACCAAAATATAAGTGACAAAGTCAAATAAAATAACGCTGAAGGTACTCAACATAAAACTAAAACTGTGGGAAATGTACTTTAAGAAAGATATGATGGAACTCTATTAGGTCAGTTTGACAATTACAGGGGTGGAGGTTATTCTTTATGATGATAGACTGAACAGATTGGGCTTGAAAATGGAATGGGTCGATAGAAAATAGTAAATTTTATGACGTTTTGGAGAGAAAAGTTGGAATGAGCATGAAAATTTCAGTTTCCATCATGAAGACTGAAATCAAGCAAAATAGGTCTTTGCTTTATTGATATAAACTTAAAGGAATTTGCTGGTTGCAGAAATGATCACAACAGTGGTAAGTGCTCCAGTAAATTATAGATACTAACATCATATAAAACCATTATTTTATATTCTTTGAAATACGATTATGTGATAATCACAGAAATCAAAAGTTGCCAGGATAATACGCGTAATACTTTCATGCTAATATGGGGGATAATTACTAATGGAAATTATATATTTCTTCACATGTGCTTCTGTACCCTACAATCACTACTGTTTATATATTTGTAGGTAAAGGGAAAATAAAATAGAAAAATATTTCAAAGAAGGATATTCGTTAGTTATTAAGTAGATGAATTCTTTTGTTTGACTTTCAAAATCATGTTTTTTCTTAGTAACATCTCTCTGATAAACATTGCTATACTTGAATAGCAATATGAATTCACCTGTCATTTTTTCCTAAATACTTTTAAGCAACACAGAATCATTTAATTTGGCTGCTAACACTTTGTTGAGTTAATTTACCACTTAATCAGTAATTGAAAAACATTTAGCATGTAAGGAATACTTACGTTTCTGGAATCAACCGCTGCGTACATTATATCCATCCATCCTTTAAATGTGGCCTGTTAAAAAGGACATGGATGTTTTAGTTTGGAGTAAAAATAAAAAAGACTTGATGTTGAATACATTTTTAAAGACATATTTTACAAAAAGGAATATTTTTGAAAGACATTTTAAAACAAATTCTACATAGATTTTAGACCAAGACATCCTAATATGTTTGAAAGACATTTCAAAACAAATTCTACATAGATTTTAGCCTCTTAGTAAGGCTTTTCATTGCTAGAACACATGCTGAACAAAATGGTCATTTGAAATATCCTCTTGCTTAATCACCAACTCATAGTACATTTCAATTCTTTAATGTTAATTTGAAGTACTATTGAAATTTGGTAGAATACTTTTAGAAAGTCTTACAAATTACGACCCATTTGACAATATCTCTAGAAGCTACATTGTTGTAACTTAAATTTGTGAATCATCTGCTGAATCTATTTGGAAGGTGATTCAAATGACTGGAAATTTAAGATTTCTCTTCATTCTACAACCTACAGATCATACAGTTATACATAAAGGCAGAGTTTCAACCATCCTTTTAAAAAGTTTGAAGTAAAACACTACACTATTCTCCACTTTCTTCTCTGTAATTACTGAAGAAAATCAATTTATATAGGTCAGAAAAGTGAAATACAGTAGACGTTTGGCATTCCCAGATTGAAGGAAGGATATACCAAGTGTAACAATTTGTAGTAATTTGTTATATCTTGTAGGGCACGAATTTTGAGCCCTGTGGGCCTGAGAGGATTATTTCCAACTATCCAGGGATGCTAGCTAGGCTTTTGACATCTGGATCATAGATGTTTCTACAACACTATCACTGGTGAAATAGTGGATTTGAAGAGAAGAAGACCAAGTGAGGGTGTATGTGATGTCAGTGAAAATAAAGTAATGATCTTAGCTCTAAAATAAAAGGGTTTTGTACATTAAGGGGAGAAATGTTGAGTGTGTCAATGGCTTAGGTCAATGATAGGATACGTCCACCACACACTTAGTATAGGAACAGAAAAAAGTGATTCAAAGAATCATTTCAATAAATTACTACTCAAAACAGAGGTGAAAAGGTGAAAAGCCAAATGTGAAGCAATATTTTAGAGATTTTGATTTTGGTAGCAGAATTTATTTGATAGTTTTGTGTACCACCTTCCCTCTATATTTTCAGAATTACTTTGCATTTTTGATTAATCTTTTAAATTATTCTTTCTTTGATTTTATGGAGTAACTGATATATTGAATACTTAGGTGATGTTTACAACTCTGGTTATTCATGAAGGGTTAAGAATAAATGCCCAAGGAAATATCACCATGTGTCTACTATAATATTTACAGAAATCATTCTTGCCATATTATTTAAATCCCTATTTTAAATGCATGGACATTCAGAGTAGGTCAGAAATATCCAGAAGAGAAATAAAAATTTTCATTAAAAAAGGTGGGAAGAATTTGTAAAGTAATCATAGTATAGATACCATGGAAAGAGCCGCAAGAGTGTTTTGACCAGTATTCATGTGTTTGCTTGGTTTCCTGGTTGAACAATTAAAAATATAACCCTACTGAACAGAAATAGATTTCTGCCCTAACTACTCTGTAGAATCACAGAGAAAAAATTAAACAGCTTCTTTAAAGCTCAATTTTTAGCTGTCAAGACAGAGCAGTATTTTTAGTGTTTTTCAATATTTGGGGCTCTATCTTAGTCACTGCTTTGCTGTGATGCTGCCGCAGCTAAAAGCAAAATCCAATGAAAATGTTTAGAGCTCCCATATTGTGTATTTTTATCAATTATGAATGATTTTTCTTAGAGAAAAATCAGTAGTAGGAAAGTTAGCAGTCGAAAAATGAGTAGTAGAAAAGTTAACATTTAGAATAAAATAGACTTAAATAATGGTGCTGAAAGGTCATTTGAGGTGAGACTGGTTGTATTTTACTTCTGTTGTCTTTTTCATTTCATTGAGGATTGACTCCTAAAATCTGAAAGTCATTCCCAAAGCTTCTTTCCCAATGATATACCTTGGCAGCTGGTAATCTCTCCTAATTAGTTACACTCCAATTAGGAGCGTTGTGTGTGTGTTTTGGAGGGTTGATCTATCAGTGAAACTAGCTTTCCAATTTCAATAGAAAACAACAACAAAGCTATTGATTTATTGATCAACTTGTTCAGACAGAAAGAGAGGGCAATATGTATTTAAAAAAATAAAATTAGGGAAAAAGAAAAATGACCATCGGATAGAAGGTGGAATATCTGGCCATAATTGACTATGTCTACATTGCTTATGTGTAATAAAATTTCTATCTATCTGGACTTATCAGCTTGTACTAACAAATAAAAATTAAACAAAAATAAATATATTATAAACTTTCTTCTTAGTACCTAAATAATAGTTGCTGTCATTACTTTTTATTATTCCAAACAATTAAAAAAATTCAGAAAAAAGAGTGTTCACTTACAACTTGAAGCAAAGAGAGATACCCAAATCCTACATTATCAAAGTTTACTTTCACATTTTTCCATCGGGCAGTCTCATTTCTTTCTATTAGTTTTAGGCAATCAGAATGATTATTCACTTCGGTGATGTCAAACCTGTCACCAGTTGTGGTGTTAATACAGTGGTAGAATTTGCCAGCAAACAAATTTACGCCCATGATGCTGAAAATTAGCCAGAATATAAGACAAACCAGAAGCACATTCATGATGGATGGAATTGCTCCTAAAAGGGCATTCACAACCACCTAATATACAAATGGAAAAAAAAGAAAAGTCAGGATTTTCATCTGTTAAAAAAGAAAAGACATTCCCCTAAGTGATCTTTGGTCTTTCTATTTTTTAATATCAAGACTATTTCTAGGATATTTCAAGGCAAGTAAAAAAAGCTTCAAATAAAATGTATTTTTTTCCTTAAAGAATACATTTAAGAAAACAAATAAGAGCAATATAACAAAGAAATGAAGAAAAGTTTTAAACAATGAAGGGAGAAATACTACAGGTGAAAGAAAATCAAAATCAGAGGAACTTGCTGCCAGGTGAAGTCAGAATATGTGTTATAAGAAGAAAAGTAAGAAATCCTACAGAGAAGATAACTCATTTTTAAAAAGGCAAAATATTAAAGAACAAAATTAAAACATTTGGACCTGAGCTTACTTGACTAATATGCTTTTATAATAAAAAATTCAGATGTATAAATATTAAAAATACTGTTAAATACCTAATATATTTTCTCCTTATTTATTCATGCATTGCTATGACTAATAATAATTTTGCATAAGAAGCAAGACAGTTTGCATTATGTATTTCATTAGATCATCACATCATTTATTTCAAGCTCCAGTCATGTTGTTTCATTTACTGAGTTTAATTCCATAAACTTACTTTAAATGAAACACAATAGAAATCGTTTCTTAGGAAAATAAGAAAAAGGGGGATGGCATACATAGTTCCCACGTGTAATGTGATCACATGAAATTCTGTGCTCCATTATTATCTACACTTTTTTGTATGGAAGCATGTTTTTCCTCTTTTTAGTTCGGGACCACAATTAAAAAGCTAAATTTTTGTTCACAGAACACTCTAAGGGTGGCTTGTTCCCTCCTTGTTTGCTCGTCCACAGATTGCATTGGACCACCCATGAGTAGCCCAGAGGAAAGGTGAAGAGAAGCCCTAAAGGGCTCAGAAATATGGCAGATGCCTCAAACTTGGACATTAATTTAATTCTACTCATGCATCTCTATTATTCTTATCAATCTGATGCAAAGCAAACAATAGGCATCAAAATATCTTCAATCTCTCTTTTGACAGTGCACTCTTAGAACAAAGTATTTGGATTGCCTGTCTAAAAAATTACAAGAGCCAACTGATTAGATTTCTGACTCCCATTTAAAGTCTATTAAAAACTCTTGGCCTTTTGTAAAAATGTGTGGTAAGCAACCCAAAGGAAATAATAACAACAGTAATGACAAAGGTGGAGAAATAGAGATGAAAAAGTTAATTCATGTTGGGTATCCAGACAGAACTGAAGGATGTGGCCCAGGCAGTTTACCAAACTGACGCATGGCTCATTTGACTGTCTGTGTTACTGTGGTTGACATGATAAACCCTTATTTTATACTTTATGTTCAATATGTGGGTATACTTAGATTTCTTTCAGATTAGAGATGTGAATGCTGAGATCAATTTATTGTTTATTGCCCTCTTTTTGGAAATATTTTGCCTTCCATCCAGATTAAAATGCTTTTTCTATTGTGTACACACAGAGTACATAGTAAAATGTATGTTTTACCTTCAACATCCAATTTAGAGATGAGCAGAAGACTGATTACCCTCATCTGTTTCTTGAATTTCTTTTCACATCGATTTGTAGGTCTCACACTTTTTTCTTCAAAATGTTTCTCACCTTTGTCATTTCTTTTCCACTATCACAGTCACCATCCTAGTTCTGCCCTCTGTTACTTTATACCCGGACTCTTGTCAGAGTCTCCTTAATTTTCTCCTTCCTTTAATACATGTAAGATGAATTAAATCTTCCCTACGTCTCAACTGAACTTTCTCTTTTAGCCCCCCATTGGTTACTAAATACATTGTTTTTACTTTAATATTCACAGCACTCCTCCATCTAGTTGTCTAGTTTTAACTCCCCTAGCTCCTTACAGGTCAGGCCATTGTAACTAATATAGTTACCATGTGGTAATATAATTGTCAAATAATTAAGCTGCCATTTCCTTTGAAATTCCTTGACCAATAGCTCCTCTTCTGAGATAGTCTCCTTTCTCAAAGTACTCCTTTCAGAGCAGTCACCCCAAGTTTAACCTCCCAAATAATGATTAGTGTTTTCGCCTTTGAATTCAAGAAGCAGAATTCTAGTGCTAGACAGAACTTTAGATAATTTGGTGTCATGTTTTCATTTGACCAGAGGAAAAAAATGAGGTCAAAGTAGGTTAAGTTCAGAAAGTAGACTAGGCCTAGTGTCTAGTCTGTTTTATTCCTCCTCCTTCTAAGTTACCCGGTACCCATATTGCCCTGTATTAAAGCTAACTGTATTCCTATAATCCTGAAAGATTATAAGATCTTTAAAAAATTTAAGATGCAGAAATATATTTGTGAATTCTCCAAGGCCTTTGGTGTCTTGAACACAGGAATATAACAGAAAGCTTTGAATAGATGAAGTAAAGATTAGCTTAATGTTTACTGATAAAAACATACTTTTAAACATAATTTCTGTATATAGGATGAAAATAACTAGGGAAACGAGAAGAAGAAAAATTCTGTGATTAGGTTGTAAGTTTGAGAGATTTATTCTAAAACTGGGAAGTGGTTTTGAATCAAAATTAGCTCTGTGGAATTACCGATGTAGGACACGCTCTGGGGCAGTGCAGTTCAGGACATGTTTGCAAAGTTGGCATATATTTGGCTCAGAGAAATGTTTTATTTTTACTAAGATAAGATAACTTTATCTTAGAAAACATTTGGCAGTTTGGGGGAATTTATGACATAAAGGTACATTGATATTTAAGGTTTCATTAAATTAGATGATGAAGGATCATAGAAAAGATTGTCTTCCCAAGAGCATCAAGCCACTCCTTGGTTCAGCAGAGAGGGAGATATATTAACTTTATCGGTCTCTAAGGAAATGCAGTAATTAATTCCCAGGAGGGAACTGCAGTAATTGGTTCCTGTGTTGGGAAGGAACTAGACAACAGTGGTCTGAATAAATTAGAAAGAACAGAATGAGGTTGTAAACTGTATGAAAAGAATGTCTGAGAAAGTAACTATCTTAATAAATTCATACTGTACTATAGTTGCTTCTTCTCACAAACATTTTTCATTATGTCATGAAATAACATTTCTCTATTCTAGCACAAGTAGTTCTCATAGAAACTCCATTCTGGTTCATTATCTCCATTGTAATTAAATCAACAATAAATGAGGGATTAATAATTAAATATCCCAAGAAATGTTAGAACTTTAGATACATGCTCTTGTCTGAATAAATTGTCTTTGAACTTCAAACCAATGTTACCTAGGCATTCGAAAGCTCCTCTAATTAAAATAGAGAAAAACTCTAGGCATAAAAGTCAGAAGTAGACAATGCAGAAATCATACATTTTGTAGTATGAAGAAGAGTAATAGAACCTTTTCCAAAAAATCTAACAACTATTTTGTTTGGAGAGTGTTAATTAAGGCAATTGTTTTTGGAAGCTATATCAATTATCCAGAAAAAAATTCCTAACTTTTGGTCTCCCTGGAAAATAAAACCTCTTGGCTGAGCATGGTGGCTCCTGCTTGAGAGCCTGAGGCAGAAGGATTGCTTGAGTCCAGGTGTTTAAAGCTGCAATGAGCTATGATTGTGCCACTGCACTCTAGCTTGGGTGACAAAGGGAGACTCCATCTTCAATGAATAAATAAAGACAGACTCTCATTGTCATGTCATATGCTTAAACCCTAAGAATAAACAAATTTCGGACGTATTCTTATGTGTGTCTGTGATATCCTCTAAGATCCTAGGAATTTATTTGGGAACGACTTATTCAAAGAAGTGAGTTTACACACTAAATTCTGTCTTCATACTCATGATGATCATGTTTTTGTTTTACTTCTAGGTGAGTGTTCTATTCTGCATGATTCAAATAAATGGATTCTTTAATATAATTTTTTTCCATTTAAAACCCAAATGGTATATGCTTATTCAATTTTTAAAAATATATTTTTGCCTTGTTACATTTTGAAAATAACCTCTATAAACTTACACTTAATAAACAATAAGAATGGTCACTCAATCAATGCCAGTCTTATGAAACCTGCAATATTGCACCCTAGCACCTGCTCACTTAGGCTAACAATCAACTGCTGGTATTTGCTGGCAATTTGCAGGACCCAGATCAATTTTTTTAAAGAATAGGTTTGTATGCCTCAAACAGTATCATCAGTTGACAAGTTAAACTTTTCTTTCACACAATCATCCTACACCAGGGTCCCCCACCCTCACCAACTGAATAATCACCCCATAAATGGATAATTCAATATACACATAACTAAATGATATTCAATAAAACTTAATAAAGATATCAACCATTGGGGTTAAGATCCACAGAGGGTAAATTCACAAAGGTAATTTTTTTTCTTAAAGAAATTTCAGACAATGGAAAATAGGGGATGAGGGTGTATATACTACATTGTCCCTACCATAGTACAATAGTACCCTTCCCAATCCCTCCCTCATCCCACTACACATAGTCACAGTGCAAGGATTAAAGGTAGCAAAAGGGGTAATACAGTACCCATAATAAAGGGCTGAGGGGAGGAACCAGCGCTCCACCCCATCCAAGTTGGAGCAAGATTATCCTATATGAAATAGAAATATATAGTTTATTATTAGTTAGAAATCTGATATGACAGAACATTTGGTGTTATTTTTGTATACGATGCTTGCTGTCTGTTTCCCTACCCATTAAGACTTGAGCTCTTTTGAGAAAGAAGGCATTTAAGATTTCCTAGATCAGGAAATTAAAAATACAAATTTAAATAAAAATTTTATTTCACCCTAGATATTCATGACATTAATTCACTCAGTTCAATTTTACAAGTTGAAAAATTTGGACTGGAAATTTGAAATACAATAAATCGTTAAAAGCTGTCAGCCATAAATGTGCATATAAATGTGCATAAAACATGCAGAACGCAAACTGCAGCGTGATGATGGTTTGTTTATTATTTTCTAACTTCTTATCAAGCACCGTACAACATGCTCTATTCAGTAATGTTGCATAGAAGCACATGCTTTGAAAAAGTGACAGAACAACAGAAATAAAATGAGTGCCTGAGTTATGCTTTGACACAGCTAGTGCGATTTTATGCTGCTAGGGAAAAGAATTAAATGAGAGTTTCTGAATGTATTCGAATATCACTTCCCAATCATCGTCCTCATTATCATCTCCAACCTCACCATCATTTGTGATTGTATTTTTACAAAGTAAAACAATCCAAAGCTGGCGCTATAACAAATAGAATCAATGGAAAGGTCATTTTGACTCTACAATGCCAAACATGTTGAAGAGCTCGGTCATTTTGGGGCTGGGTGTGAGTCACTAGGAGGCACAGAGAGCCATAGTTGTAAACTTCACAATTTAAATGATTAGTTTCATAACCAAGTAGCATCTATAAGGAGTGTATGTCATTGAAACTCCAAATTTCAACAAAGAACTTCTTTTAATATAAAAACGTTATTAATAATTATAGATAGGGTTACTTCTGTATGAATTAAAATTCAATAATAAAGTGTTACATTTGGGGACATCTGCCCATTTGACTCATGGATTTAATAAACTTCCAAAACATTGAACTGGAAATGTTTATAATAGCTTCAAGTACTTGGCGTTGTTCAGATTTCAGAAGCCTTTAAAATGTATTATTTTGATTCAGGCATCATAATTTCAAGTAGAATGTATAGAAATGATATTTTTCTTCAGAGCACAACTGCCAGTTGGAAAAAACAAAAGGGACAAGTTAATTGGAAAACTTTAATTTTTACATATCCCAGAGAGAATTTCTGATAACATTTTTGTGAAAATATGAGGATTCCTATAAGAAATTAAAAAGGACTATTTATATTTTATTTTTTGAATTGTTTCCAATTAGTAAAAGGTTTTCATATATGTTAGGGAAATCAAAGCTAAGTCTTAAAAACTGACATTGGTAATCAATTTTAATTTAGAAGAGAATGTAACAATAAATAACTTGTAAAATGTAAATGGTGGTGTACAATAGAGTTTAGTTTCTATAAATGTAACCAAACCTTAAGTACCAGAAGAGCTGTTTTTTCCTACTGGAATAAAAATTCCGTATGTTTGTTTTGCCAAAAAATTTTGATTATTAAGAAATGCAACTTGTTTTTACATGATCTATATAAATGCTTCTTGCTTCTAATAAAGGTGTGGGAAGTAACAAACCAAATGCCAAAATTTCTAATTTGTTAAGGATGATCAGGGCTAGTTAATGTTGTCTTAAAATGAGCAAAGGAAAATTGTGTGGTACTCTGACAAATGAGATTGAAGTTAAGGTTAATTTATAAATCACCAGTAATAGTCAAAAGTCATATTTTCTGATCATTGTTATAAATGAAGTGTGGATTGATATGTAATCCTTATGTTTGTATTACTATTTATATAAATTCAGATTAAGACAGTTATACATTGAGCCTATATTAAACATCACTTTTTAAAAGTTTAAAATTTGGTCAATGTTTAACATCTACTCTTAAATATATTCAAATAATATGAACTTTGGCATTATACAGACAAAAATTTTTATAACTTTTCATTTTTTCCTTTACACTCAGGCACATGTGTAATGCATATTTTCAATAAAATTCATTAAGTACAGATAAGGCATCACAAAGAAGTACATGATATAGAGTTCACTTTAGTTTATTATTATTGTATCATTACATATTAGCACTTTAATAATGCATCTACTTTTTTTGTACACAAGTTTGTAAGGAAACTCCCAAGGTGGATTAGGAAATAAAGTCATTTTAATGAGCACAGCAGATAAATGATATTATATCATTTTAAGAGAGGCCTAGTTCTCTTGCATATCACCTAGAAGTAAATATGCAACAGATAAAAGAGTAAAGTAGCAGTTTTGCAAGGATTTGCCATTCCTTTTGCATGCATGGATTTCCCTTTTTCTAAGTTTAACTTCATTTAATTTTGGCTCTATGCAATACTTCAGATTCTTTCATTTTCCTTACCCTCATCCCTTCAAATCGAGATAAGGCTCTTAGAGGTCTCAGAGCTCTCAGTGTTCTGAGAGATTTGATGGCACCAAGTTCTGAGTAACCCAAGGCATTTGCTGTTAAACTGACCAATGAAACCTGTACACACAAAAATAATAACCATAAATCAATGGAACGGTTGTTATTCAACAAAATAATTTGTGCTTATAAAATTATTTGGAAGACGAATGTTCAGACATGTTCAGTAAGTGCTTAAATAGTTAAGAAAATATTCTCAGTTTGATGCAAATGCAGTAGCTTTTAAGACGCTAATTGAGGGCTGAGTATGGTAGCTAACACCTATAATCCGAGCACTCTGAGAGGCCAAGCTGGGTGGATTGCCTGAGCTCAGGAGTTCGAGACCAGCCTAAGCAAAAGCAAGATCCCATCTCTAAAAAATAGCCAGGCACTGTGGCGGGAGCCTGTAGTCCCAGCTACTTGGGAGGCTGAGACAAGAGGATCACTTGAACCCAAGAGTCAGAGGTTGCTGTGAGTTATGACACCACAGCACTCTACCAAGGAGGACAAAGTAAGATTCTATCTCAAAAAAAAAAAAAAGAAATAAAAAAGACATTAATTGAAAGCTAGTTGACTGACAATCACTAGATTTCATGTGATTTACTAATTGGATAATTGGTTGAAATATAAAAAAATAATGATAAAAAAAGAAGAAATTCAGGTGGAAGAAAATGTCATTGGTTATCCTTCCTTTGTTTTATTAAATTGTTGCTGATTTTAGAAATTCTCTATGGCTACTCATAAAATATAGAAACTGCTATTGAACCAAAAAAGAAAAGATATTTTTATCTGAAGCTAATTATAATCAATATTCTCAGTATTTAATGTGTTAAATCAAAAAGATTTAATATATCCATGATTCTTAGTTCTAGGAAGATTTTCCATAAGAAACCTTCATAAACTTGCAAGAATAATATTTGGAGGGTAAAAAATTGCTTCCTGTGAAATCATGGTATTTTGAACATAGTTCCTAAAGCTGAAGTTATGCCAACTGATAATTTGAAACATGATGTTTAACTTTAGCACATCTCAGTCACTTGTTTTAGGGTAAATGAAGTGTTAATCACTGGATATATAAATTCTGTAAAAGGCTGTTTGGTATCTACGGGCTGGCCTCATGCCTAGTCTACATTCTAGAAAAACTCTCAGCACTGCACAGGGTAAACTTGCCTTCCTCTGCACTTTGCACCCTTTACTTCCAATAACAGAGTTATAACAGGCATAATCTACCCTTCAAACACTTAAGAGTAGATCAGACAGAATGTTTTTTAAAATGGCAGTAGTCCCCACCATCACCACTGTTTACTGAGAGCCTTTAACATTGTACAAATAATATCACCATTTTACAGGGTCAGAGGCCATGTAAGTTACTCAACAGCGCAAAACCAGTAAGTGATGAAGCTGGGACACAAACTTGAGTTTTTTACATTCACAATAGAAGGGATGGAAATAATAAGCCCTTTAAATCCCCTATTTCCCTACTTTTTTTTTTCCTTCAGCTTTTTGGATAACTACCATAGATTCCATTCCTTAATACTATTTAAATCCACACCACATGTCTTTGAAAAACTACACTATTGGCTTGGCGCCTGTGGCTCAAGTGGCTAAGGTGCCAGCCACATACACCTAAGGGTTCGAATCCAGCCCGGGCCCGCCAAACAACAATGACGGCTGCAACCAAAAAAAAAAAAAAAAAAAAGCTACGTGTTGTGGTGGGTGCCTGTGGTCCCAGCTACTTGGGAGGCTGAGGGAGGGAGGAGACTTGCTTAAGCCCAGGAGTTGGAGGTTGCTGTGAACTGTGATGCCATGGCACCCCACCCAGGGGGATAGCTTGAGGCTCTGCCTCAAAAAAAAAAAAAAAAAAAAAAGAAAGAAAAAGAAAGAAAGAAAGAAAACTACACTATTATACAGGGGGGTACGTTTAGTGGCTGCATAGCCGATCCTGTCAACTGTGGTCCGGCATTTGCTATTTCAGAATTAGAGTATTAATAAGGCAAACTGCCTTGAATGGCAGACAAAGATATGGAAGATACCTACATCAACAATTAAAAAGTCCAGCCAACACCAGGCGTTGGTGAAATATGTTTGATAGCCGTATGCTACCCACTTTAGAAGCATTTCCAGAATGAAAATGTAGGTGAAAACTTTGTCAGCATATTCCAACATAGTCTTAATTGTCTTTCGCTGATCAATATATATATCTTCAAATGCCTATAAAGAAAGAGTTATACATTTTAGCTTTCCAAAACGATCATTTTCTATATATTATTTTTTTCTGATTACCTATGGATATGGCATTTTATTGGAATAGGAGAGCAGAGGAACAGTAGTTATTGCTGTTTTATTTCCTCTCAAAGGCCCTCTTATTGTTGAATCAGGGGAAATGTTATATTCTCCTCTGTTATTTTAGTCAGAAGAAATAAGAAAAGTGTAATTCCAAAGAATTAATTTTACTTGTTCATGAAATACTTTATATATATATATATATATATATATAATAGAACAGCTTACATTTTTTTCTTTATTAAATGATAGTTGTATACATTAATGCAATCATGGGGTACAGTGTGGCGTTTTCATATACAATTTGAAATATTTTCATCGAACTGGTTAACATAGCCTTCATGTCATTTTCTTAGTTATTGTGCTAAGACGTTCACATTCTACTCTTAGAAAGATTCATTTGTGCCCTTGAAGAAGAAATACTTCTTGATGTCATGTCCTGATATGCCACCCCAGTTGACGTTATATATCCCTTTTGTTTCATTTCCTTTGCCCCCCTTACATTGGCTTTTTGCCAGAGAAGGGAAGTTGAAGAAATAAAATATGAATGCTTATGGTTTTATGAAGCAGAAATTGTGATTGATCATTACAGAATTCAATTTTACTAAATATTTGGGGCCATCAGCTTCTTTTTCGTTTCTTTATTTTGCTAATAGTTTATATTTCTCAGCAGAGACACAGTATGACAATGATGATAAAATCAAATTGTTTCATTTGATCTTAAGATGTATTCCTGTCATATGAACTTCTCTTGATATTTTATTTCTAAGTGTATATTCCTTTTAAGGGTGAAAGAATATTTCTTGTCTAAAGTGGCATGTAGAAAAAATTTATCCACTTCAGAGAAATATGCAGGTAAATACAGGTCTATGTTAAAATTATAAACTGAAGTTAAAGAAATTCCTAAGTAATTGTTTCAATTTGGCAAACTCTATCATCTGTATCTATCGATTGATCTATCTATCTTTGTTATAGTTTAAATATTCCATTTGCATCAGTGTTTCTCAAAATGATATCTATTATATTTATATTTTTAAAATTATTCTCACATAAATATAGGTTGATTCTGATGAAATGAATACCTTCCTATAAAGGGAAATCAATCCTTAAATGAATCACTTAGGCATACTGCCCAATATTTATTGTTACCAACATTCATTGTTTCCTGAGTAGCATGAGACTAGTGAACACAATGGGAGAGAGATAGGGAAGTGGTCCCTACGGACTTATTGACTGTCCATAAAGAGATAATAATAATAATACCATTCAGAAACCTTTCACTAGAACTTAAAGGATATATATTCCCTCTTCGAGGACTTCCATTAGCAATACTGTGATTCCCAGGCTTATCTTCTTACTAAACGATGAGTAATTGAGTATTCGCACTCTTTAGTTATAATGTGTAAGGTGAAGAGCTAAGTTTTCTGGAATATTTAATAATAACTAAAAATAATTAACTCATTACAAATCCAAGTTACACAGTAAAATTAAACCTAGAAATACTTATACAGTAAGCCTATATTTTGGGAGATACAAGGCAAGCCAATCAAATGCAGTAGACGCTGACACGGTGAAATAGAAAGCATTAACACAGCATTAGTATTAGAACATTCTAACCATTGGTACTGTGACATCTTTGGGTAATATTCACTCACCAGAGCACCACTACTAAGGAGAATCATGAAAACAATGAAGGTCTCAAACCAGTTATGTTCAACTATGCGGAAACACGTCCTTCTCAGGTTCCACCACTGTTTTCCTCTGCCTTCTTCCACGCTGATCTGACAGCATTTGAATCTTTGTACACAGCCTGCAGGTATAATGTGCAAATGGGAATAGCTGAAATAACTTCTGCTGCATCCAAGATATCCTTTGCAAGCCCCTATTTTATCTTTTTATTACTATGTCCATCTCTACCTTGCGAGGATAGCTCTCTCAGCCTACAGTACTAAGAGCACAGTCATCCATTAGTTGACTTTAGGCAACATTAGTTGTGTGAAGTTGTGGAATTATTCAGTTTCTCTAAACGGTTCCCTAGGCAATAATAGCTAAATTTTCTGCCTCACAGAGTTATGGTCCAAGGAAAACTTTGTACATTACAAATAAATGTGAAGACCCTCTGCCTTATATCACCCTGATGCATTCCGTTGAAGTCACTTCAGAACAGGACTTCAAAATGGAAAATAATAGATAGAGTGCTTTCATTTTATAGAGGTCATAGAGTAGTAATGTAGATATCGTCCAACAATTCTAGTCTCCTAAGATGGGGACTCCCAGAATGATTCACACAATGTTCAAAATTCATTTAGGCCCCTAAATGTGATCTGCATGGTTCCGCTTGGGATTGTCACTGCCTTCCTCAGACACGGATTCCACTAACTCTGACGTCAGAATTGAATTTGTAAGCACCATGGAAGATATTTTTAAAATAAAATACAGAAAACATATCGTGCCCCTAAGAATGTTAAAAGAAATATTGATTTTCATAAAAGTAAAAATAAAAAATATAGAAACAGAGGAACCCTGCTACAAAAGGAGAAAAAAGAAAACAGGAAGGCAGGTGTGTTGGAAGAAAAAAGAGAGAAATGAAGGAAAAGGAGGGAGAAAGAGGAAAGGAAGGACGTAAGGAATGAAGTAGTCGAGGAAGAGGAGAGAAGGTAGACAGCAAATACACATACAAAAGTTCAAAAGAGAAGATTTTTCATAAGGTAACACATGAGGAGCTATCAAGAGAATGAGATGGATATATTTGTTGTAACTGTTCAGAGGGATACGAAACTCTTCCACCACGGTCAGATGAAAGTAGTTTTGAGAAGAACTTTATGTTCAGAACTCATATTCCCAAGGAAACTAGACCATACGAAATACTGCTGCTAGGGAAAGCATCTGTCTTTTACCTACTGGCATATTGAACAAGGCTCAGCTGGACACTGTTTCGGTATCAGGCATCTGGGCAGAATTTATTTCCTGCTTTATCCAATAAATATTGAAAAATGATGTCTTCATAAAAAACATTATTTATCATTTATAATTTGCTTAACTTTAATAGAAAGTTAGTATTGAGGCAAATTTTGTGTCTGAGAATTATGACTAATGTTTAAGGTGCCAAGTTATTGTGATGATGACACTATTTTATTTAAATTATAAATAATAAAACCTAAGTCACAATTTCGATCCCCTCGGAATATTTTTCTTTATGTTCATGAGCCCTTCCACATAATGGGCACAGGTGATCAAAGCCCAGTACTGGATTTTAAATCCTTCTTGCCTGTTGACAATTGGAGGCATTTGAAATATTTCTATTCAGAGATCTATTTAATTATAAGTGATCTATTTGGAGTGACCAACAGCTAGAAAAGCTGTGCTCTGAAAGTGAAAGATTACTATCAAGATCGTTTTCTTTACCTTCAGTGAAACAGGCTTCAGGTTCCAGGGCTTCTTCGGGTTCCACGACAGGCTGTTCTTCGGCAGGCGCGCCGATGTCCACAGTGCTACCTTCCGACGAGCTGCTGCTTTCGTTAAGTTTCTGTGCATGAGATGGACGTGAAAAGTAAACCCCTTTGATTTATTTTGGTAATAAGGGACCTACTGAGGAAGGATTATTACCGTGAACTTATTTTGTATGCTCCTTGAGGTAAAGAGATTTTTAAGTTTAGTGCAAAAGAGGGATCAAATAAGAGGAAATCAGAAAATCAACTTCCTTCCTATAATTCCCAACGTGAGTGTGAGATCAGATTATTGCGGTGCGATGTTGCAGCACATCCTGAGCGTGACACCACCTTACAGATTAGAGGAGCAGAAGACGAAGGGGAAGGGGAGGAGGCAAAAGAGGAGAGAGAGAAAGGGAAAGAGAACCAGAAGACAAGAAAACCCTTACTTTAGATCCAGAAAATAATGTTATTAGCTTAGTCTGCATTTTAGCGTTTGACTTCATATATTTCTTTAACAATGTGTGAAAAATATTACCTGTTGGTTTTACTAATGCTATTAATACTCATGTTAAGGTTTAATAGCTATTTACTGTCAAGGTGTTAATACTTATATATTCCACACACGCTTTGGAGAGAAATTGTTAGGAACTAGGTAAAAAAAAAATCAAATAAATAAGCTTAAACATACTAAGTAAACAATTTCAATTTCTGGCAAATATGTATATTAGGGTCTATAAATTGAGGTAAATAAATGATGCGTGGGAATATTCCATTTCCCCTGACAAATAATGGTCAATACACCATGTGAAGATGAAAGGCGAAAATCCAGTTAAATAATAGCCACTGGCTCGGCGCCTATAGCTCAACCGGCTAAGGCGCCAGCCACGTACACCTAAGGTGGCGGGTTCGAATCCCCAGCCCGGACCCGCCAAACAACAATGACGGCTGCAACCAAAAAATAGCCGGGCGTTGTGGCGGGCGCCTGTGGTCCCAGCTACTTGGGAGGCAGAGGCAGGAGACTCGCTTGAGCCCAGGAGTTGGAGGTTGCTGTGAGCTGTAATGCCACGGTACTCTACCCAGGGGGACAGCTTGAGGCTCTGTCTCAAAAAAAAAAAAAAAAAAAAAGCCACTGTGGTTAGACAATGGGGGACGGGACACACCTTTCTCTTTCTAGAGTTCTCAGGAGACAGAGATGGCAGAACAAATCATCTAATATAGGAAGAAATCATAAATGGCTTTTCTGAAAACCAGCAATCTGGCATTTAAATTTTGGTGAGCGTAATTAATTTTATTGAACACAAGAAACACGCTAGAATTGAGTATTCACTGATGACTAGAATTTCTGTGCTCCTTGTTGGGCTATCAAATCTAGTAAAGTGTTTTTCAAACCTTAGGCCATTAGAGCCATCTAATAAAAATTCAAAAGCACACATCAGCCATTCAAGTTGTTATTACTGTATTACAAATAGTACTTAAACACAGTATTAAAATTGTTAAAAGGAATTTTATACACGGGGGAGAGAACGGATATTTGGAAATGAACTTCACCAGACTATCACATTTGCTCCAGGGGGCATAGCTTGTATGTCTGGTGCCATTTGCACTTGCTTCCCTCTCTTCCCTTTTAATTTCTTACAAAATAGAAAAACTTAACTCACAGCTTCAGGTCATTAGGACCTATAATGGTATATAGCCCTGTCATAGTTCTGAGAATTCAAGATGAAGATGATCCCTGAAATTAAAATTAAAAAAAAATTCTCACTGAAGACTAATTTCAACATTCCAATAAATCTTAAATTTGTCTGCATTTCACACTCAGAAGCTAAAAGGTTGACTGTTCCACAATGGAGACAGTAACAACAATATTAATATTTTCATCTCCTCTTTGGCTGCATTTGGCTTTGAATAAGTTTATCATCTGTTCTAGCATTTGTACTGAATTGAAAGCATGCCCAAGAATAAGTCATTGATTACTCCTCCAACAAATGAAGAGAACCGTCAGATGGAGGTTAAGTCACAATCTCAATGCAACCACCCATGGTCTTGTCTTCTGAGGAAACCTTAATGTCTTATTCTAAACATGACAGTGATTCATCTTTTAGCTATAAAATGATAGACTCAGGCTGAAACTTGACACTGCAAGAAGTGACTTAACATTATGAAAATGACCTTTATTGGCACTTTCAGTGCCCTAAAAATATTCTTTATATATTTTATACAAACATGTGAATAACCTATTTACTGTAGAAAAGCAATCTGTGCAAGATGATATTCTTAATGTGACAATCAGTGAATGAGACTTGTGAAGTTGAACAATTTTCAACAAGACGAAGAGTCAGAAGTAGTTTGTTTTTTGTGAATAAATTTGGTGTGAAGAGATTCAGATGCAGACTTAATTTTAATACCGCATCTACCCTGGAGCGCTCCTAACTCTTATCTGCGAGATCTGATCCTTTCCGGTTTATATCAAGCTCACAAAATAAGAGATTAGAATAAAATATCTCCTCTTCAACAGAATGGGTTTTCAGTGATAAGCAAGAAAAACACGTTATTGAACAATTCATCCTCATGTAAAAGCCCCACATAAATGATGAGGAAAATTCCTTATAAGTCCACATAAACATTAAATTAATAAATTAGATGTGAATAGCTATTTTAAAATGAGGTAGAAATACAAATTTCTAGAAAGATACTGAATTCAGATTGCTGTATCAGATTCTTTAAGATCTTTGTCCTCTTTTGAAAATCCTAACTAGAACCTCAGACTGAAACTGGACACCCCACTTCTCACCATTGACAAAAATTGATTCTTGAAGAGAGTGGGGGAAAACACTTAATGATATTGGCCTGGGAAAAAGCTTCATGAGGAAGAACTTGCTAGCAATTGTAGCAACGCCAAATATAAATAACTGGGACTTGACCAAGCTAAAAGGCTTTCGTACAGCTAAAAACAGACAGCTTTCAGGATGGAAGAAGATTTTTGCATGTTATGAATCTGACAAAGGCCTGATAACTAGAATCTGCAGAGAACTCAAATTAAAACATAAGAAAAGTACAAACAACCCTCTCTATAAGTGGGCAAGAGATTTGAACAGAAACTTCTCTGAGGATGACAGATGAAAGGCCAACAAACATATGAAAAAATGCTCATCGTCTTCAATCATCAGAGAAATGCAAATCAAATCCACTCGGATATCACCAAACCTCAGCAAGATTAGCCCATATCAAAAAGTCCCAAAACACCAGATGATGGTGTGGATGTAGGGAGATGGGAACACTTCTACACTGCCAGTGGGACTGTAAACTAATATAGCCCTTTTGGAGAGAGTACGGAGAATCCTCAAAGATCTAAAAGTAGACCTTCCATATGACCCTGCAATACCATTACTAGGTATCTACTCAGAAGAACAAAAATCATTTTACCACAAAGACATTTGCACTAGAACGTTTACTGTGGCTCAATTCATAATTGCCAAGTTGTGAAAGCCCATCAATCCATGAATGGATCAACAAACTGTGGTACATGTATAGCATGGAATATTATTCAGCCATTAAAAAAGGTGGAGATTTTAGGGCAGTGCCTGTGGCTCAAAGGAGTAGGGTGCTGGCCCCATATACTGGAGGTGGTGGGTTCAAACCCAGCCCTGGCTAAAAACTTCAAAAAAAAAATGGAGATTTTATATCTTCTACATTTACCTGGATGGAGTTTAAATACATTCGTCTTAGTAAAGTATCACAAGAATGGAAAAATAAATATCCAATGTACTCCATACTAATATGAAATCAATATATAAACAATTACATGGTCTTAAGAACAATAAAACACTAATACAGTTCAATTTGGGGTACAGGGAAGCAGGATAATATAGTTCAGTTTGGGGTAGAGGGAAGCAGGACAGGAGAGGACAGACGGCAGAAGGAGGGAGGGCATGAGGTGGGATGTCACCTATGTGCACACTGTGAGGGTGTATAACACTGGGTGAGGGGCTCTTCTACAAATGGAACTTTACCTTGGGAGTGAGAACAATGTAACCTAAAAATTGTGCCCTCATATTAATTTAAATACAGTTAAAAAAATACAACCACAGATGATGAAGTACAGGTGTGGTTTGTGCTAAAGACACGAAGTAGAACTGCAGTTAACCCTACATGGTAGAACAGGGGCCTAAAGTGACATTTTAAATCTAAATATGTGTTGTTTCTAAGTAAATAGAGTGATCAAATGTTTGGGATCTGGAGGAGTTTATATACCTTTCAGAACTAGGAAATACTTAAAAATTAGGGCTTAAAAAAGTATATGTATTTGGTTTAAGCTCTGTTTCAAATCAATATTTTTCAAAAGAATGCTAAGCCACATATGGCTAATCACTTTGATACACGCTGATTCTTACAAGGGTGAGGGCAACTTTCTCCAACTTTCAAATCATACTAACATCAGATAATATAACAAATGAATATTAGAAAAATCAAAGCACAGGCAACTGTGTTCATGTCAGTGAATCCACTGTAGATTAACTATGCTAACCAGAGTGAAATGTTAGTGCTTTTCTAGAAATTCATATGTAATGTAAATAAGAAGCATTAGGGTGATAAAGAAAAAAAAAACAAAATAAAATAGACACAGAAGCAATTGAAGTGTTATTAGCTAAAATATGGGACTGGGTTTATTGCTGTGCTAAATAAAGAACATGAATAAACACACTAAAATTAATTAATTAAATAAGTAAAACTATTAAGTAATAAATAGATTCAAATAAGTAAAAACATTAACAAAAGGTGTCGAGAACTTTTTACTCAAAGATGATAGTACAATAACAAAAATGAGAGAAAGGCGCCAAGATGAAGCTTAAACACTTAATTTTTATAAATTGTGTAGAAACTGCTACAGATTTAGCCATTAGTGTATCTGAAAATTTAGGGAAACACAACATCTTTGCAGCTGATGAACTGTACCAATATCTTCTAATCAATCATTATAGAAATGTTCACTATGTATCTTTCCATGGAAGGGGATTATCTGTCTTACTATGGAAGAGGGGTTTCTAGCCTCTGTTCTGTTTCAGGCTTAAGAATGAGGGGAAGGCCAAGCAGGTAA